TTTAATTCCCCTCCAAATCTTATCTGTGTTTGTATGATGAGTTCATTTCCCCAAAATGTCCCTTTCCACCCTCCATTTTGTGTCCAAGCAGGTCACAGATGCAGTATGGCTAAAGTAGGCAGGGCTCTTGGAGGAGACATCTACATACAAAGAATGTGAGCTGGAAAAGACTGATATCCTACAACTGCAAGGGAACTACACAGCCCTGCAGTTTGCTCAGATGAACTCTACAGTGTGGATTCTCAGGGGCATCCCTCCTGCAACAAGTAGAAAAAGGCAAGAAGTGAACATCTCTCAGCCCCTCTTCCTCATGGGACAAACCAATGGACAATCTTCAGGTGTAACTTTTCATTCTCCAAACGTCAAAAGCAATCACAGAAACGTCTTAGCAAGCATCCATCATCAGCCAACCTCTGTAAGTGGTCTCCTAAGACCTGCATCGCCAAGCCATATTTTCCTCAGTGGAGAAATACCATTATAGATTGTTTATCACAAAAGGCAGCATGAGCATCTGACCATTTGTTTTGTTGAAAAATATGAATTTACTCTGTCATATCCTGGTGCCGGCATCTCAAACACAGATTTCCTCTCATCTCTACTAACCTTGGGCTATCAGGCAAAACTAGAAGGCGGCAGTTGTGTCACTGAGACAACTCATTCACTGCAACAACTCTGACTAGCAAAGCAATAATAACGCTTTGCATTCAGGTGCAGAAATGCTCCCCAGATCAAGCCAGGCTGAAGTTTTCCATGACATAAATGAGATTCCTCCTGCGAATGAAATTAAAGGAAGTTTTACTCTTCAAACATTAGGGAAAAAAAATCAGTTTGGACTTTTTAGCAAAGACTGGATCCTCCAAGGGAGCTGAACTCATCTTCAGTCTTCAGTGAATTCTCTGGTGTAAAAAAATTACTACCATCAGCAGTGATGGAAATGGGAATGCTGCCTGCCTCTCCTGTCATCTTGGTGGCAATCAAGCTTCTGCAGCTACTGAAACTTACCCAGCAGTCAAGGAGCCTTCCTGGATATATTGATTAAACGTATGCTGTACAGACCTGATGAATCTCCCCTTCAGACATTTCTGGGTGCTGCTTCTCTGCACAGCCATTATAGCTGTCAGCAAACCAGCCAAAACCCCCAGGGAACTCAAACCTCTCAACGTGGTCCCCCATCTCCAGTGTTCCACAGGGATGAGGTGGGATTAACATATCTCTTCTCAAGAATTTTCTACTTAAACTTTCATTTGAATCTGTTTGTTAACACACCTTGTTGTTTTCTTCCAAATCTTTATCCAGAAGATTTTCTAAGCCATGGATATTTCACAGGGCTTTGATACTACCAGGACTATACAAAGTGTTCAGTCTTTTTGCTTCCATCTTTACAGTTCTGAAAAGCCACATCATCCCTTCTCTGAACTTCAGAGTGGATTGCATAACAGCACAAATATCATACAATATTGACTGTTACATATTGCCCTTGAAAGATAGAGACTGGTTCTCCTGGAGTGCAAAGTTTATCCTCTTGTGGCTTCCAAAGCACAACCTGTTACAAAACTAATTCCTTGACTTGATGGCAGTATCAGACACCAAGTTTGACACGTGAGACTGTATGGAGGTCCAACAGGACCTGGAAGGGTTATGATCTTCGTAAATAGCCACCAGTAAACCTTACTCCCACCTACCCAGGCAGAGCATGATTAATAGTTACCTTCTGCTGTGCTCTCTTGAGATTTTAAGTATCTCTCCATTGAATAAACCTGTCTTCTTTCCTGGACACTTCCTTCCCTGGGATCCTGACTTCATACTGGGCACAAGCTGTGCCTTTTTCTTGTGTACCTGTAGGGGCTTTAAGGATGCTCACAGGTTTGCAGCAGGTAAAGCAATGTATCTGTGTTCTGGTACACACTGAGCATAGTTAAAATGAGATACATGCAGGCAACAATATCCTGAGGAGCTTTTCAGACACCCTTCAGAGATCACTCAGTCTTTATCCTACTGAATCTTTACTTGGACTTCTAGAACATGCTCTTCTCTTTCTTGACCACTTCTTCTCCTTAGCATCTCTATTACCTTTTTAAATATAGTGACATCAAAAGGAATAAAAAAATATTGCCCAAACAGTTTCAGTGCAGTCATCCTCATGAGAGTCTTTACACCAACATATTCTGCCTCAGATATTTCTCTCCCCACTCTTAGGCTGCAGGTTCCCTTCTACATCACTCTAAATATGTCCCTGGACTTGTTTGTAATTTATGCTTCAGGTCCCTTTTCCCTTCATCCTCCGTTTCCGTATGATGAAAGTTGCACAGAACATCACCTCTGGCTGATATTCTGACTGTTTTGGACCTTTCTCATTCAGTATGTGCATCCTACTTGTGTCCCAAATGACAAGAGCAGGGGTAGAAAGCTGAAAGTTCCTTTGCAGGTGAGGCCACACGTAGGAGAAGAGACTGCATGTCTCTTCTTTAATTAAGCACTACAGCCAAGGGTGCTTTCTCTGAAGTGGTTCTTCTCCAAAAGCTCTTTGAATGACATTAAACAGATGAGGATTTGTTCTTTTACATTATTCTGAGTTTTGTAGAAATGAAATCCTGTCCACTTCCCGTGGGCAAGAGACACTGGCTTTAATTCCAAGTACCTGTCACCATGCCTCCATCCCTGGGAACTGATGTGACTACTACATTTTCAGGTGTCAATTGCCTGTTCTTGTCCTAAAATTGGCATACCCACATCACTTGCAAGGTTGAAGATTTCTCAGAAAATCTGGCAGTAGGTCTTTTGGCATTTTAGTTAGGAATTGCCACACTTGAAAGTTCCACTAATGGGTTCTCACATATCTGTGCTTGAGTGCATGTAGTGAGTTTTTGGCACAGGTGAAAAATGACAGGACTTAGTTCCTTTCTGATACCTTTGTGGATATCAGAAAATGTATTAACATATCAGAAAATGTATTCAACCCTTGGCTGGTGGTTGATTTCCCCCTCATAAGCTCACACACTATGCACAAGCATTTCAGGAACCTCAGCCCACAGTGCTACAGTTCGTACAAATACCACCAGCCAGCATTAGCAGAAACTTCCCCATGCTGCTTTTGAGCCTCTACCACAGGTAGTGATATAATTTGCTCCATATTTGACCCAACTTAAAATGCAGGCCAGTTAGCTCAGGGAGTAAGAGAGGAAAAAGTCAACTTCTGCTTCCCTTTCTTAGCAGTGCCAAAGTTACTCAGAAACTTTGGGTTTACCACATGATGCCAACACCTCCAAATGAGCATCTTATATCAACCTTATAAAGTCATAACCTCTTATACATATTTTTTTTTTACTCACATTGCTATTATCTGCACTTTCTGATGCAATACTCGCAAATATCAAAAATGACAATTAAGGTGTGATATTACACAGTAACTCAAAAGGCTTTTTCAGCCTGTCAGTCACAGATGCACCAACACTGCCAGCCAAGAAGGATGGAGGATCCTGAAAGGTGCTGAAAATTTTTAGGCTTCCTTCCGTTATTTTGAAGGGCCTTTGTACCTTCTAAGAGGAATGTAAGAACTAGCAGATTAAGGCTCCTTCCACTATTAGAAAAGATGACTTGCAAAACTAGAAAGAGGAAGGGGGATGGGACGGAGAAACTCTTTGCTGGAAAGATGTTTGCCTAGCAACACAAAATCAAAATCTATGCCTGACCTGTAAGAAATGTCTCTATGGGCACCGCTCCTTTCTTTGGTATTCAAGCCAACTTTTGCTTGTATGTGATCTGAAAACACAAGAGCAAACGTGAAAGAGGAGGATAAAAGCAATGAAAGCTGTCATTACCAAACCAATGAGTTAACCCAAAAGGCTATTACATGATTAGGTGTACCTTGGGTTTTTAATTGTTCCTTTTTGCCTATATCACCAAATAGACTATGCATCTAAACCAGAATATTATTTAGGTAAAACAGTGCCAGTTGGTTACTGCAGCATCCTTGGAGAGCAGGAGAATGCTGCAGGAGTCCTGCATGGCACTGGAGGGGAATTCTGCCATTGGCAGAAGAAGAAATACATCAGTTTCCACTTTGCTAATGTAGTCATGGAAAGCGATGACAGACAGGTTTGGCATATGGGGCATATGGTAGAGTTAGGCCTGGAGAATTATGTTACTACTGAGCCGAAGGATTCCTGATAAAGATGGGTTTATTTAATTTTCAATTCGCTTCTTACACCTAAGGATATTTGCAGCCTTGGGTGTATTTTAGAATTGCTCTCAGTATTGGAAATGGCCCCAGAGGTTAATCAAGGAATGTCAGGCAGAGTGTTTGCAGCAGCTAGACTCTTACAGGCATGACTGGGGCTCAGCTCAGCTCAGCCTGGCCTCCAAGGACACAGTTTTGCTGTGAGGTAAATGAAGGTACAGCAAGCTAATTAGCTATACCAACCCACTTTCCACAGCTGGTGGTGGGTGTTTCAGGGTTGCCAAGAGCCAGTTAGACTCTCCCAACCCATTGTCTCACCCAGAACTACATGTAAAGGAAGGGGGATTTATAAATAGGAAAGTGTTGCTTTAGCACTGGGATGTTATGGGTTTACAAATCAGATGGATGCACTAGAAGCTGGCTGGTCCCTGCACAGACGTGGCCTGGATCTGAGTTGGAGAGCTAAATCAGCCCCTGTATTGAACTTGATAGCAGTGATTAAAGAAACATTTTAACGATATCAGTTCCTCCACTGCCTGGATGCCAGGATATCCAGCACTCAGGAGATCCTGGGTGTGATTCACATGTGGTGGTAGTGGATAGAGCTCACATCAAATTCAGTGGCAGTTGTACCTACCTCTGCCATGGCCAGCATTGATCCTGGGCATCCTAGGGAATAAGCCCAGCCTCTTGTGCATTTCTTTCAAATTCCCTTTTGCCCTCTTCTGCCATTTTGTTGCTCCTGTGTTAGCCAAGACCTAGTTTACTAGGGCTCTTGATTGGAGACTTATTACAGCTTATTTCTGTCTGCCTTTCTTTAAAGCCAGCTGAACATACCCAATGCTCTTCCTCTATGGTAAGACCGAAAATACAGACCACCCTCCCAGCTTCTGTGACACTCTTTCTAACACACTCCTTTTTTCTCTTCTCCGTGATCACAAGTTCTCTCTCCAAGCCCAGCCTAGTTATTTGTGCATGAAGCTGCCATGTCGTGTATTGCTGTGAGTCTGGTGTTCACATGAGCTGTGAATATGCTGCACATGTGTATTTCTTGTGCATCCTGAGCTTCCCTTTGGTCAAGTTAACTGTTGTTCTGCCTTCTAATGAACCACCAAGAGAGAACCTGACCTGGTAAGATTTCTTGTTAGCCACAAACTGTGTCTCTACCCAAGTGACACTGAATGAGTTTGCAATGTGACTTCATGTCCAGCTCTCGGGACAAGAAGGGTGTTGGGACTCTGAAGTTCCTCTTCGATGAGGTGATTCCCTTTAACACTTGAGTTTGTACTTTGCACAAAAAAGAGTAAGTCGTGCACACAAAACTCCTCTGCCTTGGTGTGCAAGGCAGTTCCCACACCACTCCAACAGAGTTGCAGTAACTCCAATCTCTTGATTGTCACTTTGTAGAACCTCCCTCCTCTGGCAAGGATATGCCTTCAAAAAGATGGATGAAAACCAGGAGAAGGCAAGCAAGGCTACTCATGCACCAGCTAATCTGTAGCCATCTAGTCTTAAAATTACTGTAATATTCTGAGGCATCACTGAGCTTTTGGCTAAGTGGTTTGATGCCAGTAAGTTGCAGATTTGCATCAGGGAGGAATTTGTTCTATCTGCTGCTTAGATTTTGCCTGCTCCAGAGTCCTAGGGACAGGAATCATTTTCTGGCTACAGCAGCTGTCTCCACTCAGCAAAGAAAGACGTAGGAATGCTAAAACATCCCTCCAGACCCATGTCCCAACTTACTAGCACCTAAAGGGCCAAGACGACAAGAGGAGTAGCAGGTATAATAAGAAAACACTTTTTGGTCACAGCCACAGCAGTATTGCTGTCCACACAACTTTCAAATTTGGACTTCAGCTCTCTTTTAAGTAGTATTGGAGTTTGGTTCCTTAGAGAAAGTGAAAGGGAGGCCACAGGACTTCTGTAGGATTGGGACAGGTGTGTGACATTAGAGTTAGCCCTCAGGAACCATAGTGCTGAGAGTATGGGATGCCATGAGTTTTGATTTCTTGGAGGCCACATTCCCTCCTTCACCTCAGAGCAAGTCCCTCTGAATCATTGACGCTCACAGTTTGTTGTCCAAGTAATAAAATGAGAACGATGTGAGATGTAGGGATCACTCAGGCTTATCCTTGACACAGCCTGTTCCCTTAATCTTCTTCCCCTGCTTACTCCATGGGCAGTGAGCTTCAGCCTTTGCTACAGACTGGAGGAAGCTATCCAAACTGTTCACTGGTGATAGATAGACCACAGACAGACAGACAAACTGCAGCTGGGGTGCAATACTGAACTGTTGTACGTGGTGCTGAGCTCTTTGTTCAAGCAGGATTCACACATCCAGCACACAGCTCCGGCCCTTGTGTTCCCCCGTGGCTGCTCTGCAGGAGCTGGGACATGGACAGAGCTGAGCACCAATCTGCCCATCCTGGGTAGAAACAGGAGCACACAGAGCGCACAGGTACACATCTGCATCTGGGCAATCCCAGAAACATCTGTCTGGGCTGTTCCTGGGACTTGGGTTTTATCAGGAGCAGACAGGCAAGCAGCTGCTGTTTTCACTGGCCAGTGACAGGAAATCCAAAGGGTCTGTTCTCTCTTGGTTTACACAGTGGTGAGTAGTTAACAGCAGGGGTGATCTGCACTGTTTCTTCCTCCTAAATGTTGCTCTTTTGGTAGCTTTTAGACTCAAACTGCAGTCTTTGCAGCCTGAGTGGGGACAGAGATGGGGGTTTCCATGCACTTTGACTCCACAGCAGGTCAAGTGGCAGGGTGACAGTGTTATCTCCCCCCTGTGACGGGAGGTCACATTCCCACAGTGCTGCTACCGGAAACCACCAGTTCCACAGGCTTCACACAGGATTTTAGAGGGTTAAGAAACTGAGAAACATAGCATTTGCTGTGCCCTTGAGCTAGACAGTGGGTCCTCTGCCAAGGCCAGGTGAGCCTGCTGCCACAGCAGCCCTCAGATGGATGTTGCCTTCACACATGTGAAGGCTGAGGGACGTCAGAGATGGTTACAGCCCCAGGGGAAAACGCTTAGGGACAAAGCAGATGCTGTGAGAAAAAAAAAAAAAAACAGGCCAGAAGAAGGACTATTTTAAAATACTGCACGCTTGAACAGTAGCGGTGAAGCCAAAATTAAATGTTTTTATAAAAGCAAAAGTCAGTGCGCAGACTGTGGGAAATACAAAAGGGTCATGAGAAATGCAGAAGGCCCGAGCACAGAGCAGCGGGAGCGAGCGATCCCGGCCCAGCCCCCAGAAGCATGGCCAGAGCAGTGTAGGGGCAGCCAGGCTGACAGTGGTGCCAGTGACTCCAGCAGCTGGGCAGGGGCCAGCACACACTGTGCTCCTGTGGGGTTTTGTGCCCCAGACCTGCTACTGTTTCCCAGCAGAGCAAGCAGCATGTGACTGGTGCCCAATACCAGATTCACCAGAACTGCTGGCTGAGGCACCCACTGGGGTAAAACACCCGAGACAGGTCAAAAGAGAAGGTGTCCTTCTCCTCCAGTGCAATGTCAAAGGGGATTTGCATCTTTCCAGTATAAGGAGATGCAGCAGAGGGGTTTACAGCATAAAGTATCCCTAAGCCCCAAAAGCCCAGGCAACCTGAAGGGAGAGGCTCATGGCCTTGAGAGCCCCTGTAGAGTAGCTTCACCACCATGGGAGACAGGGCAGGCTTGACCACTTCAGCTCATCCCTGGGGTGCCGGGACACTGGAAGCCCAGGGAGCAGTACCAGGACAAGGAACAGTGCAGTGAACTCTCAACGTAGCGTCCTCTGTGGCCCAGGGCCCCCCGTTCCTCTCGTGCTGTTGTAACTCCTGCCTCTGTGCCAATGGCTTCCAGAACGCAGAGGAAAACTCTCGCATCTCAATCACCTTCTTCCGACTCTTCCGCGTGATGCGTCTCGTGAAGCTCCTGAGCCGAGGGGAGGGCATCCGGACTCTGCTTTGGACCTTCATCAAATCCTTCCAGGTACTCCTCCACTTATCTCTAAGTAAGACCTAACTCCTTTTTATTTCCCCATGGTGGCCTCTCGTGGAGGGGTTGTACCCAAGTGCCTGAGCTCAAAGGCAGAGCTGGGCACACCAGGGACACGTGGTACAAATGAGAGTCGAGCAAATGTGACTCACAGGGAGTGACTGCCTGTGTACAGGTTTCATCTTTAAAGCCTGAGTAATTGCTTGAGACCTTCCCGAACAGCCCTGATAGTTCAGTTCAACTCAATTACTGCCTGTCTGTAACCCTTCAATCTCCTCTTTTTTTTTTTTTCCCTTATTTGAGCTGTGTTTTATATGTGTTGCTTTAACTGAAATACACAGCTATGGGGAAGGCCTGGGTCTCCATTACGTTTCCTTTAAGCCTTGTTTTGAGAATTTCCAGTGAGTATTAGAGGTGTGAGGCCTCCATACTTTCATCCAGGAAAAATTCACCTTTTTGGCCCCACACATTGCCAACTTATTAAATTGCTGCTGCTTTTGCCCCTAGAGACAGATTGCATTTCAGTGGTAGATAAAGTACCAGAGTAGAAAGGGGAAGCTGAAGAAGACCAGACCGGATAAGAATCATCACCTCGGGGGGAAAAGAAACACCACAACTCCTTGCTAGAAAAAACCTAGCCACATATAGTAAAATTATAGAGATAAGTATAGCATATTCCTGCATTGTAAAAGTACTTGACCTGGTTTTATTGGACAAGCACAACCTGGATGTTACTGGGGCATATCCAAAAGAAGTGTCAGGGAATGACAGCACAGGAATACAAATGGTGGTCTAAACATGAGAAAAGACGCAGAACACACCACTGGACAAAAGCATGAAAGAGTAACCTGCGCAACACACAAGTCTTGAAACAGCAACTACATATCCTTCACAAGGAGGCTTTAAATGGCCAATAGCTTTTGTGTTGGCTCTAATGGAAAAGGAGCAGATCCACTTAAAACTTAAACCTCACCAGTGGCAACACAAGCTGGGACCAAAGCCTGCAGTGCTGTAGATCATTGCAACTTCTGTCAGCAGAATTAGCACATGTGTACACTGGGGATCAGCCTGGAGTTTTTCCAGTGCAGCTCTCCATGGTCTCAGTAGCCAGATCACCAGGCTTATGCAAAGGACTCTCATTTTGCACACTCCTTGACTGCCAGAGGATCTAATACTGCACAGCATTTTTCTGGCACATCTGTACCACAAGTGACTTTTTCCATTGCTTACATGGTTGCTAACTTCCAGGTTGTTATTTGAGCAGCTCCAGTGGGAACCATTTTGTCCGCATGCTTAGGAATGAAATTCCCTTGGCACAGCTCAGCTATCCTTGATGCAGGGGACAGAGTCACACTTTCCAGTCCCTGCTTCTCCTCCCCTTGCCCCTGTGCCCCTCCAGCCTCTTTAGCAATGGCTCAATCTTACCCTGAGCTCAGCTTGCCATGGCTTTTGGCTGAAGAGGATGAGATGGATGGGAAAGGGAGTGCCTGGTACTTCTCTCCAGTGACCTTCAGACCTCTTAGATTTAAGAGTCACATTTGGGCAGGGTTGTAGGGTGGTGGGAGAAAGTACGAAGGGAGGGATCTTCCACAGCAGGAGAGGAAAAAAAGAAAACAGAAAAGAAAAAAACAATCATTGCAAGCGTCTTTTCCCTTGAAAGCCTTTAGCCATTTATAACATGGTATTCTCTGCTCCAAGCTCTTCCTCTTGCAACTACTGGGAGGCTCCTTTGGTAGCTAAGAATAGCCTCTGTGCCGCTCTGAATTCAGCCACTCCCACTGTCAGAATGTGGGATCCCTGCAGACTTTGGCACAAGCTCCTCTCTGTGTCCCCACATGCTTCCAGGAAGTGTCTCTGCTCACACAGGGCAGACTAATACGCAAGGAACTTGTGCTGGAGTTAGATCCCATCATAACTACCACGTGCCCTGGGCATGGCACAAAGCGCTGACGTACAAGTTGGGGCACTGGTGAGAGGAGTGTGTGGTGGGAAAATGCTCAGCGGGCTTTCCGTCTGCAGAGACAGCAACAGAGCTCAGGCTCTGTGAGTGGGAGGAGGAGGAAGTGAGAGGGGTGCTGAGGGCACAGCAAGGCCATGGGAATCACAAGGACAAAGTGGTAAAGCCAGGAAAGGACAGAGACAGAGTAAGAGAAAGCCTGAGGAGTAGAATATAGGAGGTGGGGAGCTGAAGGAGTCGTGGGGAGTAAGGGGCAGAGATAAGTAGGAAGGTGCATTAGTGGAAAGGAGTGGCCTGAGCTGAAGAACATGAAAAGGGAGGGCCAGACAACCAGGACAGAAGATACTTTCCCATCCCCATTTAGAAGTCAGAAGAACTGTTTTGGTTATATACTTCAGACTCTGTTTGGACACTATCTCGGGAGCTCTTAGGTTTTGAGTGTATCAAGTCCCAAGTAGATCATCACAAAAGGTTAAAAGCCCAGTTCTGAGCTGGTGTCTCTCCAGTGACATTGCGGGGTAACCATACAGATTTGTCTGACCCAAAAAAACACAGAGGAATCTGCCCCGAACCTCAAGATGACGATTACAGGCATTGCCTAAAGGTTTTCTTTTTTTTCCTGTTTTAATGTTCAGATCTCTTTGAGATGATTTATGCTGACCGTAGTCAAATCTCCATGGTGGCCAGTGAAAACTTTTCCGAGAGTCTTCCTATGGGATTTAGCTGTGTTGAATTTAGGATCACAGAAGGATTTGGGTTGGAAGGGACCTTAAAGATCATCTAATTCCAATGCCCCTGCCATGGACAGGAGCACCTTCCACTAGACCAGGTTGCTCAAAGCCCCATCCAGCCTGGCCCTGATCACAGTCACAAAATATGTATCCACAACTTCTCTGGACAACCTGTTCATGTCTTGCCACCCACACAAGAAAGAATTTCTTCCTAAATTTTAATCTAAACCTCCTTCAGTTTAAAACCATCACCCCTTGTCCTGTCACTGCATGCCCTTGAAAAAACTCCCTCTACTGCTATGTAGGCCCCCTTTAGATACTGGAAGGTGCTCTAAGGACCCTTCTCTTCTCCAGGCTGAACAAACCCAACTCTCTCAGCCTGTCTCTGTAGGAGAGGTGCTCCAGCCCTCTGGTGATGTTGTAGTCTTGTTATATTCCATGAAATTGAGTGTTCAAAGTCCAGATCAGGGACTGTGCTCACATTTTCAGGATGAACATGTTCACCCATTGCCTCTGAAGGAAAGTCTGGAAATCCCTGGTCTGAGGACTCTATATTTCAAAAGCAGCAGAGTAGAAAATTCCTCCTCAAAAGCCTGAGCTTGTGAGGTCCCGAGCTGCGCCCTTGATTCGTGTTAGTGGGGGAGGAAACCGGCAGCACTCAACACTTTGTTGATTGCTCTGGTCTCTTCCTTAGGCGGTAGCTCTGCATATCAGGGCTCTGCAATTCCTTTTCAGCAGCTGATCACAGACACTTAGTGCCTTGCAGACACCGTCAGGGACACCTAGCTCGGAACAGGGAAGATGTTGATGCTGCCTTAGGTACTTAGGATGGTACCAGCCACTGTAGCAAAAGCTACAATTTGAATCTCAGCAGCTGTTGCATTTTTTTATTTCACCAGACTGGATCCAGAAAAAAAAAAAAATCACATTGCTTTTAGTGCCAGAATAATGCTGGTTATGAGAGCTTTCTCCTCCTGGTAAGCAGCTGTAGACACTGGTTTTGCCCTGGCTTCCCTCGCTCCTTCAAGGCCAGGGCTGGTGCGCAGGCAGCGCAGCTCCACCACCGCGAGCGGGAGCAGAGCGGAGCCTGCCTGAGCTGGGTGGTGGCTGGGAGGGCAACAAAATGTGGGCTTGCAGAGGCATCTAGTGGCCGCCTGCCCAAATTACAGACTCCAGGTTTGGGGCCAGCCTCCTCCCGGTTCCCCAAAGCCAGGAACGTGAACCGGGCTCCAGCGTGCCAGGCTCGGTGGAGACACAGTGCTCTCTTTCTTTCATTTCTAGGCTCTCCCCTACGTGGCTCTTTTAATAGTGATGTTGTTCTTCATCTACGCTGTGATTGGGATGCAGGTAAGATGCTTGAAAGAGCTCAGCTGTGTCTATCTTCTCCTGTTAGACCTTGGGTGCTGACTTACAGAGTAACTAGATCAGTGCGTGGTTTTAGGGGCTTACAAGAATGTTTTCACCCAGTGAAGTAAAATGGCAGCTAGCCTTGGTTAGAAAACATCATCTGCTTATGTTCTTCCAATGGGAGCACAGAACACTCCAGTAAAAAAAGAAAAACAACAACAACAAAAACCAACAATAACAACAACAACAACAACAACAACAAATATTGACCCGTTTAATGGCAAAACACAATATGCAAATAGTAAAAGGACTGTGCCTACCTTCCACACTCTCAAAGGAATACCCATAAATGAGATATACTGCCTTGCTTTTTGGTTCAAAATAGATTTTTCAGTGGGTTTATGGCCATGCTATGCTGAAAAAAACCCAGGTTTTCTCTCCCATCACTTTCACACTGGTGTAACTTCCACTGAGTTGTAAAAAGCAGCTTTTGATCTACATCCTTGAAGGTAAATGTGGGATCAGACCCAACGTACCAACACTGAGTTTATGCCAATTCTTCAGGAAGCTGCATCAATACAACATCCTATTCAGTCTGCCAAATGAACTTGGAACCATCCTGAGCATTCACCTGTGCAAGGAATGATGTTGCATATAGACCATTAAAGAAAGTACATGATATAGGTACAGTCTGTGACAGTCCCAGCCTCATCTGTTGCGCTGCTTTTCAAGCTAAACTTCATTTTTTCCGCTTCAGTGTTAATCAAACTTCTCAGACAAGTCAACCATCTGGGACCAGAGACCACAGTATAGAAAGGCATGGCATAATTGCTTCCAGAGGTCTTCAAACATGAGAGGCTTTTTGGTTTCACAATGCCAGCAGAATTTGTAATGAAATTCATCTGACCTCTGTGACCTTCTTTGAATTCGTTTCCTGTTATTATAATCACGTGTTTTCAGAGACTCCATCTGCCCTGCCCCACTTTGAAAAATAAAACTATTTTTTTCTTGAATTATCACAGGTTATCTCAATGGTCCCAGGAATTACAGCTGCCATTTAGTCTACTAGGCTCATACTGCCACTTTTGCCTTTAATACCTAACTGGCTGAAATGGCCAAGATCTTACAGAATTACTTGTGCTATACAGAAAATCGCTTCAGAGTATTAAGTTAGTGTTACATTGCTATACAAAGCATTAAAAGTGGCTTCAAAGCACCCACGCAGACAGGGTCTGCAATGATCAGGGCACTGCCAGGGCTAGATACTTTATTCTGTAATTCTATTCCTTTTTCTGTCAGCTAGTTCTAAGTTATCCATTTTAGCCTTGGCTTGAATTCAAGCCTCTGTTCAAATCATCTCAGCATCCTGAAGATCATGTCTTTCACATTGATCTAGTTTACTAGATCCCTTCCTGCCCTCCTGCCTTCCAATGAGAAAACCAACTTTTCTCATTTTCCCTCTTTGCTAAGAGCCCACAGACCTGTTATCATCACTTTTTGTCCAAGTGGCATCTCAGACATTCTGTGTGCTGCTCTCTTGAACCTGCTGACACGTAGAGTTCCCTCACACACAGGAACATACAGGAAAGAAAATCATTCCTCACTCCATTAAGCAGCTACCATGCAAGACTAGATGTACCAGATCTGATGAAAATATCAGAATTTGCCATATAAAGGAGACCTACCACTTTATCTCAGCTGCTGCCATGACTTGGAGCGTAACAACATTCAAGCCTCACTACCTAAAGTGGTCAAGTGGAAAAAATCCAAGTTGATGCTGATGGATGAAGCCACTCATATGATGTCCCATGAGGCACAGATTGGAAGGACTAAAAGAGAGGAACCACTGCCTATAGCTCCTCCTCAGTACCTAATGCAAAGCACTCATAGCAGCTGCCACCAGTACCTCATGTGGGAGGGAAGCTGCAGGTTTGAAAAGAAGATCAGATTTCCAGCATGGGAAGCTCCCTTGCCTATATTTGCCTGAAATGAAAAATATGGATTGCCTTGGCTCAAACTGCCTCTGGGCATTAACCTGTCCTCCTGCTCCCCTTCAGTGCAGCTGGGGGCAGTTAGGGCTGGGGAAGGCCCACGCATCCATGAGGAACCCCTGCGGGAGCCTGCCATGTCAGACCCTCCCTCCTGTCTGGCACGGCCTCCCCACCCTTGTCCCCGCACTTCTCTCCACATCACTGTTTCTCTCGGGGTGCTAATTATTGGTGACATTTCCTTGAAAAGAAGCTCCATGTTCTCCCAGAGCTGCTCTGTTCCTGCTGCTTGTTTTGGCTGTGAGATTACAGCTCTCAGTCCTTGACATCTCTGCCACGTTGCTATCGATGGGGAATAAATAGTCCCGACTATGCTGTGCAGAAACCTTTCTGCCAGGCCAGGTTTGTTAAGCTCTCGGTCCCACTGCCCAAAAACTTAGACAAAGCTGTCTAAGAATTTTTTTTCAAAGAAACCTGAAAACTCTCCTTCACTGGGGACTTCACATCTGAGGACAGGCCACTGAAAAGGTTTGCTGATGGTTGCAGACTCTGTGCCGTGACTGGATGAATTAGTTGGTGCAGCAAAAGTTGGTTGGGCACAGGGGGAAGCTGAAAGCCATCCTTGTCTGGGTAAATCTAGTCACCACCTTCATGCTGCTGCATTCTGGGAGGTCCCCTGAAACACCTGCTGGTGACAAGCATGACTGTCAGAAGGGCAGGCATTCGAGCAGTCTCCAGATCCAAGGCAATGTACTTTACATTGTTTTGGGAAGATCCAAGGCACTCCACAGAGTTGGAAGCTCAAGGCTTTGCAGCTGCTGGTCTTTTGCTATCCTTTCCTCCCGGTGAAGACAGATAAGCAATGAAGGAAGCAGCCTTTCTTCTGTGTTATTGATTTCTTTCAGCTGGGACTCCCCATATGAATGCCTGTTAAAATAAGGCCCTATACTGTGTATTCACAGTGTATGAGCAAGGAAGGATGTCTTGTTTTAACATAAGATGCCTCTTGTTACAGAATTAGTGCTTTTCTGGTAATAAAGCACAAGCCAGGGAAGCAACAACAAATATGAAAGGCACATGGAAACATTCTTTTAATAGAAGAGCAGATTCTATTAAATATCAGAATCCAGGTGAGGCCAAGAGCTACAGGTGAAAAGAGCTGTGGGGATTTTGCAGGGCTAATCTGAAAAGACCTCTGCTTTCTGCCAGGTGTTTGGTAAAATTGCGCTGAACGATACCACAGAAATCAACCGCAACAACAACTTCCAGACCTTCCCCCAGGCAGTGCTGCTGCTTTTCAGGTGGGTGTATGACAGCTCTGGGTAGTGTCAGTCTGGGAGCACGATTCCCCTGCTCTCAGGCACAGCTTATCTCCTTCTACTGTCTCATGCTCACGAAGGGCATAGAAACATGTTGTCCTTTAGCAGGGAAACCTGGGAGTTATGTCAGAGGGAATGGCCAGTCTCAAGCCTTGTAGCCCACCAGCTGACACTGGCCAACACTTAGTGCTGAGGAGGGAGGCAGGTGCTCCTACTTGGAAGGAAGGTAGCCAGTTTTCAGTGCTCTCAAATGTTGATGTGCGTCTAAAACTCCTTTCATTCAAATCTAGCTAGTGTGACTTCTAGCAGGGAAAGGGACATGATGGACTCATGCTTAGGCATGGCCCTGCCCAGCTCAGCTTAGCATATCATCCTACTCCAGCTGAGGCCAGCTGGACTGTGGCCAGGTGCAAGAAGGGGTGAGAAGTTCAACACACTTAATTTTGAAGGACTTCTTGCATGCAATCTATATGAGATGCAATCCATATTGAGGTGTGTCACACACATCTCAATGACTGTCTGGTTGGAACATGAGAGCCCTGTACCCACATTAAGCCAAAGCCAGTCAGGAATGAGGACTGATCATGGCAACAAATCCAAACAGAGGAGCAGGGTATGTCAGTGAGTCAAAGCCTAGCCATAAGCCTAACTTCCTCCTAATTGACCTCAGCGGCAAAGTTCCCATTAATGTTCATTGGAGCAAGAACAGGTTGCTAATTTGCCAATCCCTCTCACATCAAAGGTCACTGATGTCTTCTCTTGCCCTTTGCCATGCCCAGGTGTGCAACTGGTGAGGCCTGGCAGGAAATCATGCTGGCATGTCTCCCGGACAAGAAGTGCGACCCGGAGTCGGAGCCGGCCAACTCCACCGAAGCCGATCACTCCTGTGGCAGCAGCTTCGCCGTCTTCTATTTCATCAGCTTCTACATGCTCTGTGCCTTCCTGGTGAGTCCACCCCAGCAAACAAAACCTTCCCTCTGACAGGCTTAGCCTCTGCTTCCCCAGACATCAGCACTGCGCAGGAGAAGAATGATCTCATGTAGAGGAAATCTCCCCATGGGGTCTTTCCCAGCAGCACCCTTTCAGTGACAACACCCCTTCCTGCCTCCCACCAGCTCTGGGAGATGTTCTGCTCCCATCCCAATCCTTTGTGCACAGCAAAGGAGCGCTCTTCCCCCCACCCCCCGCAATGAGAAAACCAAATTAGCGTGTTGTGGGCTGTGCTGAGGCTAGCAACGCCTCAGCCACACTTCCCACCTTCCCTCCTACCTACCTTCTGGATGCTGAGCAGCTTTTTCCTCCCCTGCCAGCAGCAATGACTGTGAGAATACACATATCCCACTTACATCTGCTCTGTGTTGGCAGTGCGGCATTGCTCAGAGCGACAGCACATGCTCTGCAGCTGGCACCAGTGCCCAAAACTCTCCCAGTGAACAGCAGCAACATTTGGAAAGTTTTGGTCTTGGGCCAGAAGAAGGGACTTTCATCTCAGCCCCACTGCCTATCAAAGATAAATCCCAGCTTCTCCCACCCCATTATGCCAGGCTAATAATCCCCAGGTTAATAAAAAGCCACCACAGCATGTCTAAGCATTTGGCAAACTTATTCCTCATCCATTTAGTAGGGAAGGGAAAAGCGTAACCATCTGACAATATTCCACTTCTGGGCTCTTCCCATTTAAACGGGGGGGCTGGCATGGGGGAACAGAGAACCTACCCCCCATAGCTCCTAGTTTTATGAGTCCAAATCAAGACCTTAAATGGAGAACTCAGTAAAATCTGCTGTTACTTGCCTCTTCCATCATGTCGTCTCTGTCCTTGTTTGCAGATCATCAATCTTTTTGTAGCTGTCATAATGGATAACTTCGATTACCTGACACGAGACTGGTCCATTTTAGGACCACACCACCTGGATGAGTTTAAAAGGATCTGGGCAGAGTATGACCCTGAAGCTAAGTAAGTAACCCAGCCTGGATATCAGAGCTCCTCGGGAGAGCAGGTCCATTATTTTCTGTTCTCTAAACCCAGTGCAGTAAGTGCCATGTTCCTCCTGTAGGAACACTTTTTTTTTTCTTTTTTTTTTTCAAAACTCCTAAAATAGACATCTCCACAAGGTACTGCTGGTTAATCTGTAAGCCTGAAGTACAAGGATACTCACAAAAATCAAAGCATTTAGACTGCACTGTTACTTGGCAGGACATTGCTTCACTTTCAGTTGTGGGGAGATACAGACTTCTTAGGGAGGGGCAATAGGAGACTCAGAAAAGGGGATTAGAGGGTTGGTTTATTGTTGCATATGTTTTGGGATATTGACTCTTCTGCTTGACTTTGTACTCACAGCAGAGCTGCTGTGCTGAGATCTCCATTTTGTCATGTGTCTATAGGCCCATCACAACCTGCACATTCACATGGCTGCATTACATTGTCTGCAGGGTTAGTCACATCAGCAGACTTGCAGGGATTTAAAGTTACACTGGAACAACTCACATGAGGGCTTAACTGACATTCAGTATTATATGCTCTGTTTGACACATGCTTAGGCTTAAAGTGTACTTAGATCCCTGTGGCATTACAGTACAGTTGACAATTTTAATTGCAAAACCCCCTTCATAATGCAGAAACTGTGGAAAGAGATTTTGGTGTGAACTAAAAGCAGATCTCGTTAGGAGACATAGTGTCAAGTTTAATTTGGGCTCAGGTTGTGCCATACGTGAGGTTGTGTCACATTATGAGAGTGATATGTGAATTTAAACACTTCTTCCCATCCATGGTGACTTCCCAGGGGGACTTTTAATATGGATGGGGAATAAGCCCAGAATTCTAATAAATACACCGTTTGTTAACGAAACAGATGCTACCATTTGTGCTTGCTTGGAGGCAAGACTGCAGTGGCTGAAGCCATACAATAGATAGCCGCTTAGTTCAGATGATGTCCTGTTCATCCCTATCTATAAATGGGAAGCTCTTTTATTCCTCTGCCCCATCCATGTCCCATGCTCCATCCCTGGCTGTGGTTGCTTTCCTCCTTCCATGAGAGAATTCTTCTTTTGAGATGCCATTTACAGAACTTTAGAGAAACCCAACTGCTACTGTGAAGGAAGTTCAGCACTTTGTTTTATTGTGGCTCTAGAGACAGCCTAAAGCATAAACAAGTATCAAAAGGCTTGGGGCTATTTACGTGGGTCAAAAGGGGGTAAAGCACAAGGAAGAAAAAAGACTCTTTGCACCACTGTGCCTCCTATAGCCCTAAGTAAGTAAATAAGCAGATACTTATTTTGAGCAGGTCAGTGGTGGGGGGACAACCCCAAATTGTCAGTTCATGCACTAAGAAACTGCAACAGTCAAACACTGAGGTCAATTCTTGCAAGTACTGGCTTGTGTATGACTGACAGACGAGTTTTCTGTACTAGTAGAAGTTAATATGAGTGCTGGGCAAATCCTGAGGAATGAAACAAATGCAAGAGGCCTGGAATAATGTTTAATCTCTGCCTGGGCTACAGGGAGCAGCAGCGTGGGGATGGAGAGATCTCAGTGACACCTCCAGCTGCATCTGCACTCTGCAGGTGGATCAGCAGCTCACCCCGTGGTTGGGATGCAATGCTCACTGTGCCTTCTTCTTTAGGGGACGGATCAAACACCTGGACGTGGTGACGCTGCTCCGGCGGATTCAGCCCCCACTGGGCTTTGGGAAGCTCTGCCCTCACCGGGTCGCTTGCAAAGTAAGGCACCCTGCAGTTCAAATCATAGATTAATCACACCATCACAGAATGGTTTGGGTTGAAAAGCACCTGAAAGATCACCTAATTCCAACCCACACGCTGTGGGCAGGGACACCTTCCACTAGGCCAGGTTGCTCTGCACTAACCAGCCTGCGGTGGCATTTTCCAGCTGGCCCTGCCACACCGACAGGACACCTTCCAACTCACTGCCTGCCAGGCACAGCTGCAACAGCACATGTCTGAACCACCCCCTGGCTGTCCTGCACCACTCAGTAGCTCCTCTGGGCTGCAGTCACCCAGGGCTGGAGGGTCACTGGCAGGCAGGTTGTCCACTAGCCAGGGGCATCAGTGCACTGCCAGCCCTCTCTGGAGAGTGCATCCATGCTAACTACAGCTCTCAGGTACTAAGAGCCCCACACCTGCTTAAACACACATCCTGAGACAGACTAGGACACATAGAAATAACAGGGAAAGTACAAAATATCTTTGGACTAAGCAGTGCCCCATAAACCTGGTGTTTTCTCTCATTCATTCCTGCTCAAATAAACAGCAAGGTGAGCATGGATTTAAAATACACAAAGGGCAAGGACAAATTTTCTGTGAAAATCTCTCAGTCATTTCTTTGGTTGTGAGACTTTGGCTATAAAAAAGGACTCTCTCTAGTGAATAATTACGTGTTTATAACCTCTGTGCTTTCTTCACTTGAAGTTCTTTGTTCATCTCCTTGCAATTCCCAGAGTTTGTACATGACACTTGTAGTTGTCTTTTTATATAAGTCTCAGAGAAAAATACAAACCCTGGGGCCTGTACACAGAAATATGTGACTCCTGTGGCCTACTGCTGATCCCTTTTAGTCTGCCATCGAGCTATTCCTTGCTGCCTCAGTCGGGTTCAGACCCCAAAGGCTATGATTGCAGTGGTAGTGAGGGGGGATGACACTCTTTCAGTTTGGTTCTGAACCAGACCTGTTGCATGAAAGTTGCAGAAGGCAGAGCTCAAACAAAGTCAAGTCCTGAAAGCATAAGAGTTTGAGCCAAGTTTCTGGTATCTCTTACCTCTTGGGACAGAAGATCTGGTGACTCTGTGACATCTGTCTCAGGTACATGTTGTTGGTCTTACTGAAGTTCACCCTGCAGCTGCGAAGTGCTCAGCACTCACTCTCTGTCCTATATGACTTTACAGAATTACTGCAGGCAGACATAGCCTTGTTTTATTTATACACTTTATAAGGGACAGGGGGAACAGTTGGATAAAGCAGACCAGCTTTTAGATTCAGCTAATCCCCTTTCTTCAAGCCTGTCACCTAAATGAAAGATTCTGTCTCTCTGTGTATATGCATTTAATGAAGGTGAGTTTGCAAGTGCCTCATGAGGTATGAAGAAAGCAGTTCACTCCTGATAGGAAAAAAAGTCAAAAGTTTTGAAAAAAATCACTGTCCATGTAAGACATTGTCAGCAAGGGCCCACTCACCACTGGGAAAAACAAAGATGAGAAAGTGATAGCCAAAATTGAAGAAAACAGAGTAGTAATGAAAAAGAGACCTCAGGGCAAACACACCATGACTGGGGCCATCAGTGGAATCATAGAATGTTTGAATATCCTGAGTTGGAAGGGAGCCACAAGGATCATCAAAGTCTGACTCCTGTTCCTGCATAGGACAACCTCAGGAACCTCACCATGTGCCTGGAGAGCATTGTCCAAATGCTTCTTGAACTCTGTCAGGCCTGGTGCTATGACCACTACCCTGGGGGAATCCAGTGCCCAACCACCCTCTGGGGGAAGAACCTTTTTCTTATATCCAAACTAAGCCTACCCTGACACAACTTCAGGCCATTCCCTAGGGTCCTGTCACTGGTCACCACAGAGAAGAGGTGAGTGCCTGCCCCTCCACTTCACCTGGTGAGGAAGCTGTAGACTGCAGTGAAGTCTCTCCTCTCAGTCTCCTCCAGTCTGAACAGACCAAGTGCCTTCAGCCACTCCTCACACGGCTTTCCCTCTAGACTCTTCACCATCTTCATTGCTCTCCTTTGGACACTCTATAATGGCTTTATATTTTTCCTATATTGTGGTGCCCAAAACTGCACACAGTTGGTGGATATGAAAAGTACTTTTATCATTATTTAACTAAATGCATAGGCCCCATAAGAGGAGTGGCAGGTCTGGAGGGTGTCATGAGGACATAAGTAAGAGCGTACTTCAGTTCCTGTGCAGGCAGTATGATTGTTTTCTTTCTTCTCTTTATTCCACAGCGCCTTGTCTCCATGAACATGCCACTGAACAGTGATGGGACTGTCATGTTCAATGCCACTCTCTTTGCTTTGGTCAGAACAGCACTGAGGATCAAGACAGAAGGTAAGAAGCCTGCTGACTGCAAGGGTACAGAGGTAGCTGAGCGGTGTTCCCACCAAAGTGTGCTGAGCTGGAATAAACCAGTAAGGATACCTTGTGCAAAATGGTCCAAATTACTCATGTGCAGCACGTGGGACAAAAAGCAATGTAAAGAGGTTTGGAGGAATATATCTTCTAGGAAAGCACAGTGTTTCCCATTACCTAGGAAGCTGGTGCTTCCCATGGTATCATCTCATATTATTGCTCTCATTCTTCACAACAGTCTGAAGGTTTAAAGTTTTAGATCAATGTCTGCTCAAACAACCACCAGGGGAAGGAAGAAGGGCAAAGCAGCCTCCTCCTTTGTACACTGTCTGCAGAGCTGGGCTGCTTTTCAACTGTTGTCACCACTGATCTTCCAGTCCGAGGGAGGCAAAAGAGCTTGGACTCAGGGGTCTCATCTCACTAAAACTCCTCCTGTGCTTCCATTAGTTAACATTACCCTGTAGGAACAGTGGTGTTGAAAAGACAGGTGAGAAGCAAAGGGACTGTGAATAGCTTTGCATAGACAGCAGGTATAGTTGAGGAGAGCAGACAAGATTTTGAGTTCAGCTTGTTGTCTTTGTTGCACTCAGGACCAGTATCTCTCATTACAGCAGGTACAGAGTCAAAACTTGGTTTCAAGTATTAACGAGATGCTTTAAAAGAGTGTGTAGATCTGTGAGTCACACCTCTGCTTCAGTAATGGCTATATTACATCTCAGATATGGGAAAGCATACACCAGCAGAACCCTAGCTTACTGTGCCAGGATTATACACAGCTGAGAAAAAAAAACAGTGATAAAATTAAAAAACTATATTAAGGCTTTGAATACTGTGCTAAACAGAATTTGACTTTAGCAAAAGAGGCTCTCCTGAAGAAAAGCCACCTGCAACCCCTGTAAGATATCTCAGGTCTAACGAAACAGACACCCAAAAAGGACTTAGTGTTCTTATCTGAGCCTCAGACTCTTGGAGTCGTTGCCAGTGAACTCCTGGGAAACCCTCTAAAGCCTCATCTGCTTTCTTTCTTGCCTTGGCAGGATCTTTTGAGTGGTTAGGGCAGGAGTTTGGAATTAGCCCTCCTAACTCAGATTTCTGCCTTCAATACTGTCCCTCTGTTGCATCCTCAGCAAGTTACTCAGTGTCCCTCTCTTCACTGCATCCTATTAAGAGAGCTACTGCCATGCAGAGCCCCATGCAGCACACTGAGGAGCCTTAATGCTGGGGAGCAGTAAGGAAAACTGCAGGAGCAGAACCTTTAGGAGGACAAGATACTGGTTTTGTACACCTAGAGAGAGAACAGACCTTGAATTATAAGGCGTTTGAATGTACATAAATCAAGAAATAAAATTAAAGGTGACTCATTTGGTAGAAAAGGGATATATAGAAGGAAAGGATATAAACCAAATCTGCTTCACTCACTCCCACAGGAGTAATGGGGCTTAATTAACGTCTCATTTAACTCAGAGCCCCTTGGAGGAACATGTAAAGTCTAAGTTCAGACAGTGTCATAGAAGGCTTGTTATAACCTCTGCTGTTCTTCAGAGAATGAACATATATATCCCGGGGCAATCCTCTGAGTCAAACTGCAGAAGCCTTGAACTTGCCTCCAGAGCACTATGCACACCCTCCAAGGCAGACTCTTGGTACCATGTGCAGGAGCTTGATACCTGCTGGGAGGCAGGAATTGCAGTAGGTAGTTCTTGAGAAGTGCTGCAAGCAGCCACAGGTCCTCAGATTGCCAGCTGCATCTTTACCACCAGTTATTTGTGTTCCCCAAGCTGTAGTTTCCCATTAATTGACCTCTATTGTCATTATATTTGACCTCCGCTGGATCTCAATCAAAAAGGTGTTAGATGCAATTGTTGCTTTCTTGGGATGAGGTAGCACCATGGATCTGTTGTTTCTGGCTGTTGCCCACTATCAGTCAGTAACTGTCACCTTCCTACCCAGGGATGACTGTGCATGTTTAGGAAGAAGAGCTCTTGCTGTGAGGGGGCTGTAGCAACAGTCAGAGCATCTCTTGGCCCAAAACTTTCCACTACTGAAAAAGCCCTGATATTTTCCTCCTGAGATTGCCATGCCAGACATGAAATTGCTCCTCTGCAGGGTCTGCTTAGTTCCTGTCTCTGATGATTTTCACCCTGCAGGTAACCTGGAGCAAGCCAACGAAGAGCTGAGAGCAATAATTAAGAAAATCTGGAAGCGCACCAGCATGAAGCTGCTGGACCAGGTGGTGCCTCCCGCAGGTGGTGAGTGCAGGATCTTGTCCCAGTCTCTGAATCTCTGTTTTTTTCTCCCACCTGTCGTGTCCTACTGCACCTTGTGATCATCAGGTGGAATATGGGGGGACAGGCTTTCTTCTACAAGCTGTCAACTGTATTTCATCAGGCTGAAATCTTTTCTGCCTATGCTACCATGAATATCCAGTTCTTATTGCTGAGAAATCAGGGAAAGAAGAAAATGTGCATAAATAGGAGTTAATGCATGAATATCTAGTGAGGCCTTTACTGACCTTCCGGGTGGTTCCATGGGCTATAGCACAAAACAGCACTTGGCAGTCAGTCAACAGAAGCAGCCAGGTCCTGAACCTTGCTTGGGCTGCCCTGAAGTCAGTGGACCATGTTTTATTAAATTCCCAGTGGGTTTGGAGAAGGAAGGAGAGTTACCTGGAGAAAAACATTTTGGCTGACTGATAGTTTTTACTGAGTGAGAATACAGCAATGTCTGCATTTCAGGGTAGATAGAGGTGATAGTTTCTGTTCGCTCACACCTGTGTGCAGCACAAGCAGACAGAATTTCAGTGCAGAGAAGGGCCGGGTCAGGTTGAGGATGAACAATCAGTCAGATGCTGTCGGTGAGCCCAGACTCTGAGCATGTATTACCCCAGGCTGTCACAAGACAGCAGCATGCTTTGACCCAGACTGGGAGGCTGCTGCTATAATGAGATCCTTTGTGGTTAACCAATACCAGAGACTGCAAAGGTTAGAGGTACTTCCCTGTAAAAAACGTACATCCAGACGTGCATAGCTGTAGGGGTTCTCTGCCAGCAGAGACACAAATGCCACATGCACCTCTCCTGCTGACTACTTAGAATAAGCTCTGGTTGTGGAGCAAGTCCCTTCCTTCAGCTCTATATCCTGGTGCCCTAAAAAGCAAACATGCCCTGCACGGCCCACTGTTCCTGCTGCGGATCCCAAGGCTCACGGTAGCACATGCACTGTCAAAATCGGTCTCATTTAATTCACTTTTTAACTCCCCTTTGCAGACGACGAGGTGACTGTCGGGAAGTTCTACGCCACTTTCCTGATTCAGGAGTATTTCCGGAAGTTCAAGAAACGTAAAGAGCAGGGGCTGGTGGGAAAGCCCTCCCAGCGCAACGCACTCTCCTTACAGGTGACAAGCGGACACAGAGTGGACAGGGGTGGTACAGTAGAGGCAGGTGACCCCATTTCCCTCTTAACCATTCTGGGGGCTACACTGGGCTTTCCCTACTGGAAAGGAGTTTGTAGACCCCTTGGATTATCACGCCACTCCCTTTGGGTAAATATGTATGTGCCATGGGCCCACATCCCTTAGCTCTGGAAATGGTAGGCACAAGTGAGCTATAACCACAGTTTATCAATCTGCTGGGAATATTGGAAATCTGGGATCCTTTCAGAGAACTGGTATGAAGTGTCCTACAGACATTTGCTTATTCCCATATACGGTCTACCCTTTCTGAGGGTAATCACTGTAACAGGGTCAGGGAGAGCATGTTGCCAGGAGGCAAAATCAGTTAAAAAGCAAAAAGCACACCTGGATGCCAAGACCATCCCGTGGACAGGGCATCAGGCTCAAAGAACTGGGATCTGTTCACCTCTCTGCTACACGTTAACTAGGTGGACTGCCAGGCTGTGTGAAAGAATGAGAAAGCCCCATTGACTGTACAGGCAGCACCATTTATGTCTCTTGAGGGTAAAGTGAGCAAGAAGGGTGACTCTGGAGTTTCAGCGAGTTAAAAAGTGCTGTGATGCGAGGACAAAGACAGAATGAGTATACCCACAGATTACTGCCCTGGATGGACAGGTTCCAGTCGGTGAGGAGTTTGAGGACTGTCCAGATCCAGATGCCAGAAGTTTAGCTATTAAATCCATATTTAAGCTGCTAATTAAAAAGAAGAGATTTTCAGAGGCGCCAGAGTACATGGTTCAGCTGGAACTGTGACTGCTCAAGGGCTTCTAGTTGTGGAGTTGAAAGCACACAGACCTGCTTAGTCAAGCCTGTAGATTTATGTCTGTGTCCTGTTGTGATGAAGCCAGGGGACTAGCAACAACCATTCCTGGCTCATATTGCTAAGAGTTTCTCCCTATCTATGTTTTTCTAGGAGCTGGGGATGTTATGTTAAGTAAAAGGGCTTCACAGAGCTTAGGAAGAAATGGCAATGCAGTTATTTCTCCCGTATCCACTCGGAGATATGAAGCTCTATAGTTTGCTGTTTTGCAGGCTGGTCTGCGCACACTCCACGACATCGGGCCAGAGATCCGGCGAGCAATTTCTGGAGACCTGACTGCTGAAGAAGAGTTAGATAAGGCCATGAAAGAAGCTGTCTCTGCTGCCTCTGAAGATGATATCTTCCGGGTAGGTGCCTGAACAAGTTTGAGAGTTGAGACTAGACCAGTAACTGAGCTCAGAGTGCTACATTCTCTATTATGCCTTCTGCATTTCAGACCTTCTTGTTTTGTAGGTCCTACTAGAAAACAGTGTAGTGAACCTAGGAGGCTGGGTCCTGAGATGTTTGCACAGTTTTACCCCAATTTCTTCTCTCTTTGTCTCAAAGGAAACTCCTCAGTGGAAGTTCCCCTCACAAAATCTAAATTAAAGAACAGATCTGTTAAACCATCTCACAGTCTGCAGAGCAGCAGCCAGGCACGCTTAAGTGTTTTGTCCACTCTTTTCTGTGGCACAAGTAGCATCCTTCCAAAAAGGACACCAGAACCCAATAGAGATCCTATAGAAGGAGGAAATTTTCTGATCAAGTTACCTAAATCTTTTCTTTCTTATTTCATTCCTATTTCTTGTAATTGTCTCCTCTGGTAATTTTTCCTCTCTCTTGGTGTTTTCCTCCTTTCCTTACAGAAAGATGCTGCCAGTTCTTTACTCGCCATCTAAACAGTACATAACTGGCTCACTAAATATTTCATCATTTCTTCCTCCAGGTGATTAACAGTTTCTGGTGCTCTTCTCAAATTCCCTCTTGTGTCTAAATGTTCCTTTGCAACTGCACTGGGAAAACCAGACAGCAGCTACGTGGTTCTTGCATCCCTACCCAGTCATGCATTTCCAGGACTGATGGGAGGTGTAGAGACACCTTTGCCTCACCTATACACTTGGCCAGTCCTGTGAAATATCATAGAAAGCTAAAATATCCACAGCCTGTGGGTACCTAGTCTCTGTGACAGAGAAATTCCACACAATGCCTTCTGGAAGAGAGAACACCAGTGCCATGAACACTTCTGTTCTCACTTTTTTTTTCTCAAGAACAGGCTAAGCAGGAAACACTAGGGCCCTAGCACATCTTCTCACTCACAAAGGGAAAATCATTTCTGTTTTTCTGTCAGAGAGCTGGAGGCTTGTTTGGAAACCATGTCAGCTATTACCAAAGTGATGGCAGGAGCGCATTTCCCCAGACATTTACCACTCAGCGACCTCTACACATCAATAAGTCTGGCAACAACCACGGAGATACCGAGTCTCCATCTCACGAGAAGCTGGTGGACTCCACCTTCACTCCCAGCAGCTACTCATCTTCAGGCTCCAATGCCAACATCAACAATGCGAACAACACTGCCCTGTGCCGCTTCCCCAGCCCACCCACCTACCCCAGCACTGTCAGCACAGTGGAAGGCCATGGGACCCCCTTATCACCCACGATATGTGTGCAGGAGGCTCCTTGGAAACTACCATCCAAAAGGTAAGTTTCACAGCAGAGTAAGTCAAGGGACTGGGTATAGGAACATGCATGCAAACACCAGAGCACTGCTGCCTAGCTGAAGTCACTCCCAGACATTGCCCAGCCTGCAGCCTGGATCGAGCCTTCTGGTTCTCCACTTGTGCCAAAGCCCACGGTGCAACAGATAAGCATCAGTCGAGCACTGCAAGGCAGCAGCACTCTTGCTGGTCAACTCACTTGATTTCTTTCGGTTTTATCATGAAGAAACCTCTGTAAGAACCAAAAGGGAGGGGTTTTATCTACTGGTAACTGAAGGAGACTGCAATTCATTTCTTAATCACCCAGCAGGGAGCTCTGAGGAAGTCAGTGGTTTTTCATTCAGTGGGTCACATCCCTACAGAGTCACCAAAAGCATTCTAGGGGAAGGGAGGCAAGGTTTTCAGAAATGCAGTACTGTGCAACACAAAGAAAATCCCCTTCTCTGGACAGTTCTCAGGCTCTCTACACACAGATGACTAGTATGAAAGGAGTATAATTTTTTTCAATGGGGGATTTCAGTAACAGCAGGATTTTTTTTTTCAGTGCAGAGAGTGGGCAGTGTGAAAAGGTGAACAAGTGCTGCCCCTGAAAAGGATGGAATAGAAAAATAAGACAGAGGAAATTCAGTGAGTGCAGAATTGCCCAAGAGTCCCAGGGTTTTTCTATTTCATGCCTTCCTGAGGGAGGCCACGGGAGTTGCACAACACGTGTTACCATGTGCCTTCCTCCTTTGCTGACTTGCGCTGATGTGACACTGCTAACGTGGTGTTCTTTTCTCTCCTTGCTTCCTTGGGCACCCTCTCTGAATTAGGACACATTACTACGAAACACTGGGACGGTATGTGCTCTCCATAACATCTAACGCTGTCCGGGTGTAAGACTCATTGTTCATCCTATGCCGAAGTCCAAATTCCCATTAATGTTGAATACAGGCTCTTCTTTTTGGTGTCAGTAGGCCTGAAAGAGAGAGAATGATAGGCATGACAGCTCCAGGAAATGCTCCTAACACAGGGCAGGTAGTGATTCATGGGCAGTTTCTAGCTGTTTTCTAGATTTGAGGTTTTTTTAGAGTTTCAAGCTGGGCTCACACATCTATGCACTCTCTGATCACATCATAGTCAAGTACACTCTGGCATGTTCATACAAAAAATTCTGTATGGTTTTGGCTAAACACAGACTGTTGAGCAGGAGGAGATGCCATGTACTGATTTTTTCCCCTCTGCACTTTAGCAGTTTTACTACTCTCCCATTTAAGGAGGAAGGTGGCTCCAGCACAGTCCTACAGACTCTCGAAGCCTACAGGCTCCCTTATACCATGCATGCACACATTTTTTCCAATGCTTTTTGCTTAAACCAGATGACAAAATAATGTTTCCTCTCCGGACCCTGAAAGATGAAAACAAAACAAAACAAAACAAAACAACAAAAACCTGCCACACTGCTCTTTTCTGCAATTGCTAGTAAGAAACTGAGATTGTTTCCAATACTGCCATGTTGGTACCTCAAAAATTCAAGCTACCTTCAGAGTTTACTTTACTCCTCAGAAAACACAAAGTCCAAATGAAGTGAAATGTGAGTGCCCAAATGTGAAACAGAGGGACAGAGAGGAGGCAAGCAGGGAATTAAGGGCTGTTACACCTAAAGTTCTGAACAGATCCTACTGAATTTAGTAGAAGCTCTCTGCAGTTAGTGATGAGAAAAAAAGGCACCAAAGGTGGAAAAGACAGCAGGGAGCGAAAGTGTGAACAGGGGGCAGAGGGCAGAGATGGTGCAGAGTAAGGGATTTGGGAGGCAGAGACCAGACATCACTGAGCTGAGAGGGTTACTGTGAGTGTCTAGGAGGCTTCTCTGAAATCCATAATCACGGCTTTTGTAACAAGAGCCCACCTCAGATTTTGCTTTGAATTCAGTGAGGTGTATCTTTGCAAGTGTGGTCACTAATAGATGTGCACACTAATAGAGTTCATGTAGTCACAGATGACAATAATACATTTACAGTATTGTTCAGCATTGATTTAAGAAACTCGTCCTCTGACAGAGGACACTGACAAGGGTTGCTGCTTTGTATTTGTGAACTCTGTGGCTCTGTTCAGTCATTGATTTTTCTATGATGGCTCTTCAGCATTATAATAAACTGAGACAGATGGAGCCTGTCATTCTTGTCTTTGTAACAGGTTGTCTTTACCATCTCCATATCTTGACTTGTCTTTTTTGCTCATTAGCTCCAGTTCCAGAGACAGCCAGCTGGCAATTGTTTGCCAAGAGGAAGTGTCTCAGGATGAGACTTATGATGAAAATTTGAATGAAGACATTGAGTACTGTAGTGAACCAAGTCTGCTCTCTACCGAAATGTGAGCTTTGCAGCTTTAATCAAGGTGTTTGGGTGGTTCTTTGATTAAGGGGGAGAGGTGGGAAGAGGTGACCTTTTTCAGTTTATGGGATTAGGTCAGAACCCGCAGTTCAGCCCTAGAAGTAACATTGAAAAGAATATCTTTCACCTAGGATTTTCCTTCTTCTCTGAAGGAGACATCTGGATCTGCAGGGCCTTCCTCCACATTCCATTCTACCACCTGATGTTCCCAAATCTCTTTTTTAGAGGGGTTCTCTGTCTCATGGTTGTTACTGCTCCTGGACCAGTTATAGCTTGAAGCTAGCTCACTATTGCATCCTTCTGCTAGCATGATCTTCCTGGCTTCCTTGCTGCAAGAGGGGTTATTCTGTCCAATGTCAGCTGCTTTTCTAAGTCTCTGTTCTCCTTTCCAGGCTTGACTACCAAGATGATGAAAACAGACAACTCACTCCACCAGAAAACAGCAAAGGAGAGGACACCCGGCACTCTCCGAAGAAAGGGTTTCTGTGCTCCTCAGCACTAGGTAACCTCCCAGCAGGACACAGGGGCTGTGCTCTCCTCTGCCTTGATGGAGTTCTCACATCTCGCTGGGGGAATCCCAGCCTGTGTGGGCACAGAGGTTGCTGTTTGCTGCCTTTGGCTTGTCAGAGCAGGAATCCCGATCATGCACATGACTCTGCTGACTTTATGCTCTCAGTCAGTAGATGAACCTGTGGCTGTTTGGATAGTCCATGTGATCTGTTTGACAAAACCTGCCTGTGAATTAGAGGGGTTTGTGTGAGCACTGTGGACTCTCCAAACAGTCACCAGGGAATCACTGAATGGGCTAGCCTTGAATATACGGTTTTCTGGTCTGTGTGTATTCAGCAAGGTGAGGTTGTTTCTGTTGTTTGCTACCAGGAACACAGCGAATTTCAGATTAATTTAACAAAACACAAATTTATTACCTGCTCAGATTGTACCTGGAGATTTTCAAGTGCTTGAGCCTGTAGACTACACAGTCAGGTGAAATACATGAACCACAAGATTTCTTGAAAGTATCAAGACAAATGTAAGAGTCAGTGAGAAAATATTTTTCAGCCTTTTTCCTGGAGAACAAGAACATTGCTGAGAGAAACCAAAAAGAATCATGTATATAAAATATATTCCATAAAATAACAGTGACAGACTAGGCAGTGTAATGGTTAAAGTGAGGCTACTGAGTCTTCACTCAAACCCTTCAAGATGCTTGTACAATTCAGTGTTCTAAAAGCATTTATTTTATTTCAAATCTTAAAATATTAGGCAACAACAATTCCTATCTGTAAGGCAGTCAGTCCTTGATACAACGCTTCATTAACGACATCCTAGTGAATATTTACACAGTAATGTCAAACTCATTTTACTACTTTTTTTTTTTTTTTTTCTGTAGAAAGAGAAAATACTTTTAACCTGCATTGTAACATTCATTCTCTGGGTTATAATGCAACCCCTCCTAGCCAATGTCCTCTCCAACCTCTGAGAGGACTTTTTCTCAACAAATCAAAATTATAGATACATACTAATTTCAGAATTCTAATTTTCTTTCATTCTTTAGAAAAATGTCAACAGGATTAAGAAGCCCCCAAAATATTTCAATGTGCCATGCAGTGTGTCATGCATTAAATCTTTAATATTGGATTTATTTGCTATTCTCCAGAAATAAAGCCCTTGCTTCTTTTCATAAACATACTTTGCAGTACTTTAAATTCTTAATAGGGAGAAGAATTTCTCTTATTTAGAGAAATAAAGTTTAATTTTATAGCAAGTAAACAATGCAACTGTTTCAACAGTTTCCCCTAAAATCTTTTTTCTCTTCCCCTCTTTCCAAACTTTGAAAATGCTTTATGTCTAAGTCACCTTCCATTCACCAGTAAATTCATCATTCATTAATTCACTTCCACTTGACCTTGCTATAGACACAGTCTCATAAACCGTGGTATGTCTGGCAGCTAAGGGACACGGATCACATGCAAGCAGGAGGCCAATGTCACCTGAGCAGCCTGACATCCCCTTCTGCATGTTGTGTACAGCCAGGCACAGCACCAGAGCCTCAGCTGCCACCATCAGTCCTGACAAGGGCTTTGTCTGAACCAGAGAGGTCTGAGAACTCTTCCACTGTTCAGGAGGGAAATGTTTTTTGAAAGAGGAAAAATAAAAATCATTGTTCAGAATTTTATCTGAAGGTAGTGTTGGTCAGTTCACAATGCCTCGCTGATTTTTGCAAATACATGTGCTCTGGAAAGGGCGAGGTGTCGAGGGAAAGTGGACAGAGGTGAAAATGGGGGTGCCTTTGCTGTATCTCCAATGGGACTACACTAAGGGAAATGGAAAACAGATTACCTGTAGTGTGTTATGAGTGATGGACACAGTTGTGTGTGATTGCTCTTTCAGGTCGAAGGGCATCTTTTCACTTAGAGTGTTTGAAAAGACAGAAGAACCAGGGCGTGGACGTCTCGCAGAAGACGGTTCTGCCTTTGCATCTGGTACATCATCAGGTAAGTGTTGATGACCACAAAGGGCCCAGCAATGAAACTGAAACCCTACTTTCTGCAGTACCTCCCCAGTGCATCCCAAACAACTTTTTAAAAGCCAGCTGGGATAGTTTCTAGACCCACATCAAGGGTCCAGTTTCTAGAAATCAGATTTGCCATCATGCTCATTCCTGCTTTCAGGATTGAAGAAGAATGCTACAGGAATATGTCCTTTGCAGTCAGCAGAGTTATTATTTTCTGATGTTAGTAAAAGAATAAAATAAAATACTAGCTAAAAGATAAAAATAGCTACCCAAATTGCATGCTGCAGTGCAGTTACACTGGCTTTGATGGTAGTGTGCATATGAACAGAATGCACGGAGTCTACTTTCATATTAATTAAAGATAACCAGTAAATGTAATTATTCATTTTAAAACATAATCTGATTGCATGTCATTAATCAGCTTCTCAAGCCCTTTGTAACTGTGTTCAGCAGCCTATCAAACATATGCTTTGGCACGTACCTAGATGATTAGCCAGCCGTCATACTCCAAAGCAGATTTGTGTCTTTTATTTTGATGATGCCACTTTTTGTCACCATAGAAGAAACAGGTGCAGATGTTAGTGCCAGCCTTGCAAGGGTGGGGTCCTGCTCCATGCAGTTCCCCAGGGCAGGGCAGAATGATCTTGTCACCTCCTCTGCTGCCACAGGGGTACAAAATACTACACAGCAGGGCTGGGAAAAGTGAGAAGTCAGAGCAGAGGAGCGAGAGGGGAGCGTGTTTGAGGCTCCCTGGCTTTTCTCACCTCCACTCCCAGAGAGTGATCCTTCAGTACTCAAGTTCCAGAAAGCAGTAGTCTGCAGAGTTACAGCTGTGGCAGGGACAACCAGAACATGCCTTGGAGCAGGGAGGAGTGGGCAGGAAACAGCTTCTCACATTCAACACAGGAGCAACAGCTCTCCTGAGACTTCCTGCCCACCCATGGCAGGCCAGGCAGAGGGAACACGTGCTTCCCACCCTCTCAGCCCACCCAGCTGGCAGAATCAGCTCCCTCCAACCCGTACAGATAGGATGGAGCTACTTCATCCCTCCTCATCCCTCCACAAAAACCTAGAGGGATGAGGCTCTGTCCACCCAAGTGTCACTTAGCCAGACTGAAGGGCTATCCTGCAATAGGCATCTGGCCTTCAGCTGACAACACTGAAGACCTGGCAGTTTAGGGGATGTGCTGAGGCCACCACAGCCTGCAGGGCATAACTTATACTGAGAAATTTTTAAGGGCTTTCTTCTTCATTGAAATCTGATAGGAGTCTGACATCTAATTCCTGGAAAAATCTTGGTGAACTCTGTAGGTGACTAAGAATTAATTCTTTTGTTCATCTGTCACTGAAGTCATCAGCACAGCATAGTTATCAGTTCCCAAGGATTTCAGCGGCAGATGGGCTGAGCTTCACTGAACATTGGATAGCTTAAAGTTAGCTCTCTAGTTTAAATTGGTCAGTTCAGGCCCACTGTGGTCAACAGCACGAAGGAGCATCTCCAAAGGGCAGGTTTAAGTCTAGTGTAAGTTGTAGAGGGCATTTTCAGAGAGAATATTTTTAGGCAGGGATTGAAGAGACGGGAGGCTTGCCAGTGTCTCTCTACACAGTTAGCTTAGACTACACATGGAGCCTTCAGATAGCTGAAGCTGGGTGAGACTAACCCCAGCCTGAACAAAGGGATTTTCTGCAACACAGTCCACATACTCATGTATTTTCTGTCCGTTTATTCCATTGCTCATACTGGGCTGCAGTGAGCTCTGTGACTGAGCTTACAACTCTGACAGTATTGCTTATAGAATAAGGAGGCAGTCACCATGAATAAGGCATCAGATCAGCCCTGTGCAACATGGGGCTTCTTGAGAAATTTGTTATAAGAGGAGGCTGGATGACTCAGAGGTGGTGTAAATTATTACAGGAAGGACTTGGATGGCTGACAGTATAATCATCAGACATTGATCCTCCCACCAACAGCAGATGCCTTAAAATCCAGTGGTGGATTTAAAGTTATTGCCAACTGTAGGCATATGTAAAATTCATATCTGGTATCTGTTCAGGTTCCTCAGTAGACACTTAGAGAAAACACAGCAACTGGCGATAAAAGCTCACGGTATGTGTGGGGGCAGTGGTGGGAAAATGAATTGCTGTATCACCCCCTGGAGAAGAGGTGGGTTTTGGCAAGGCTGTGGGGAGCAGGGCTGCATCCCTCCTGTCAGTGCCATGGCTCCAAGGCCAAAGAACTGCAGTTGTGAAAGTTTTCAGTCTAGTGCTTGGCACTAGCACAGGGCACACCATTTAAAGGAAAACAAGTTTGCAGCAAACATCCAAACCCATTGAGGAGCTGGTGGCTGTTTTCACGAGCCTCGAGAATCTTCAGGCCTTTCTCGAGGGGTTTCTCCAGAACCAACTCCTTCCAGCCCTGCCGCCAAGCCCAAGCTCTCACTCATCTTGCTCCTCCTCTGTCTGCAGGCATTAGCGGTGGCCGGCCTGAGTCCCCTGCTCCAGCGAAGCCATTCCCCCACCACGTTCTCCCGTCTGTGTGCTACGCCCCCTGCCACCCCCTGCAACCGTGGCTGGCCGCAGCAGACCATCCCGACCCTGCGCCTCGATGGGGCGGAGTCCACTGAGAAGCTCAACAGCAGCTTCCCGTCGGTGCACTGCGGCTCCCGCTTCCCCGACAGCACCGGCTGCAGCAGCCCCAGGAGAGCCAGGCCGGTGTCCCTCACTGTCCCCAGCCCGACCGCCGGGAGCAGCAGGCAGTTCCACGGCAGCGCCAGCAGCCTGGTGGAAGCGGTAAGACCACAGAGGCACAAAGGGCACTGTTGTCAAGGCCGACTAGAAATAGGGCCCATGGAAGGGCAGGGCAACACATACATTGCTGCCCACAATGCCAAGAGTAGGAGAGCCCATCTCCAAGCGGCCTAAATGGGAGATGGAGCTCTGGGGAAAACACAGCAGTGAAGAGGGTTGTGTTAGAGGCGTGACAGGGTTGACGATGCAGAGTACTAACATGTGTCTTTGTTTCTGGTTCCCTGCCTGCTTTTGAAGGTCTTGATCTCGGAAGGACTGATGCAGTTTGCTCAAGATCCAAAGTTCATTGAGGTCACAACCCAGGAGCTCGCAGACGCCTGCGACATGACGATAGAAGAGATGGAAAATGCAGCAGACAACATTCTCAATGGTAACAGCAAGCAGAGCCCCAATGGCAACCTCTTGCCTTTTGCTAACTGCAGGGACCCAGGGCAGGACAGTGCAGGAGAGGAAGAGGAAGAGGTGCAGAACCCGGATTGTAGAATAAGTCAGGAGGAGCTCAAGGACAGCAGGATTTATATCAGCAGCCTGTAGTTGCCAGGGCTGGAAGCGATGCTGGTTTTTTATTTGTTTCAATGTTCCTAATGGGTTTGTTTCAGAAGTGCCTCACTGTTCTCGTGACCTGGAGTAACCGGAACAGCGTTCTTCATTCATTTCTGTTGGGACGAGTCGCAGAGTTGGGTGGTGTAAGAAAGCTTTTCAGGAGAGGATATAACCCCAGCACGTGTCCATGAAGGAAGAGTGAGGAGGAGGAAGAAGAGAAGGAGAGCCAGCTCCCTCTTTTTTTCAATCCCTGCACAAGGAACGACAACTGCCTCCGGAGCACGAAGGGGAACCTCAGCTTCCTGTGGATGGCCCTAGCCAAAAGGACCCTGCGCCAAACGGGTGTCTTTCGACTTTGCTTGTAAAAATCATTTTGCACATATTCTGTATGAGCCTCACCGTCTCCATAAAGCCAAGGCCCTTTGATTCGGAAGGAGAGGAAGACTTCTGCTGTGGATTCCCACGCCACGAGGGGGAGGAGGAAGCAGGAGAAGCGCAGGGGTGCCCGAGGGGCAAGCAGCAGAGCTGCCCAGCCCTGCCGAGACTCCCAGGCAGCGGTCCCTGCCAACCAATCCGAGTGCAGGCAGCCACTCCTGCCGACCAATCAGAGCTCGGGCAGTCACCTGCCAGCCAATCCGAGCTCAGGCAGCCTCCTGCCAGCCAATCAGAGCTCAGACAGCCAGCCATGCCAGCCAATGGGAGCACTGGCTCTGCGGTGGGGCAGAGCCAACCCGCCTCGCCCATGCTGAGGTGGTGGTGGGCTCGTGTAGATCTCTTCTTGTTTTGCAGTTTGATATTTCCTTGAAAGCATGTTGCAGTTTTTATTTTGACTTTTTTCTTTTTCTTTTTTCTTTTTTTTTTTTTTTTTTTGAGGGAGAAGGGAGTGTTTACAGCGTTTTGTAATCACCTACCTTTTTTGGTTTGGTTTATTTTCACCTTTGCAAATGTTAAATTGGTTTGATCATGTTGTATTATTTAAACTGGGGGGGGTGGTTTCTCCATTGAAATTTGGTAGAAGTATAATGATAATAGACGAGTTTTACCAACCATTATGTACACCAAGAATTTGTAATTTTATTTACTAGTAACTGAAACCTTTTTTTGTTGTTGTTTTATAATTTAAAGATAGTAGGCAATGCACTTGATATAGTCTTGCACATTTGAGTGATTGATTTGGGTTCTTTTTAGTGCTAAGTATATCTGTGAGTGTGGGAGCAATACGGGGCGAGTGTGCGTGCGCGCGCGTGTGTGTGTGTAAGTGCATGCAGCTCTCCACATCCTGGTCTGAGCTGCAGGAGATCTGTATCTGGGGCCATTTGAATGCAAAAACGAACCACTGTCTCTGCTTTGGAAAAGGGAATCAGTAACTTTGCATTTTCTGTTCCACAAGATATGCAAAAACAATGCAATAATATTAATTTTGAAAATAAAATTGTAAGTTGTGTTGGCATTAAAACTGTATAGAAAAAAAATAAATTGTGGGGGTGGGGGGAAACTAAAAAGAAAAAAAAACCCAGAAGGCGTTACGCTTCGATATATTCCGTGTGATGTTTTATTGCATTGATAATGTTTCTGTTGAAGAAACCGTTATACTTGAATTCAGGTCAGTTTCAGTATTTTTCAAATATTTTTTTAAAATGAATTGCAATTGTGCCAAGCAAAGATAATGAATCGAATTAAGTTTGTTTAAAAAAAAAAAGAAAAAAAAAGAATCACTTCTTGTATATTTTGCTGCATGTCAAGTGAATCATTTCGTATTTGGAATGTGCCAAGCTTTACCTTTGAACTTTTAAGTGCTTTTCTACGTGTGGTTGGGGAAAGGGGTACTGTTTTGATTTTTTTTCCTTTTTTAATTTGTACAATGAACAAAGTGTACCTGGTGTAAGTAACTATTCTGCAATCCACTGACAGGTTGAACGTTACTGATTTTGCATATCTTGTGTTCATTTTCCTTCTTCCTCACTCCCTTTTAACATGCACGGTGACTTTATTGGTAAAGAATCTTTCTTCCCTAGACTGGGACATTTTATTCAGGCTTCATTTTCTTTTGGTTTTGCACAGTTTCTCTAAAGGTCTTGTCCCACTCAAGAGTGGCAAGACCCCCAAGCTCATTTGGCAGATCCATCCTACATATTCAGCTGGCACCAGCAATTCAAGGAGTGAGGGAAAAAAATCTGCTTTCAAAATTATTTAATTAGATAGCTGACCCTGCTCAATTATAGCAGGGTGCTGGGATAAGAAATGCAAGAATCAGAATAATTAGCAAAGTGCAGTTATCTAACTCTGGCCTGGACTGAAAGCAGAGGGTAAGTGAGGGAGGGAGCTCTGGATCTTTATTAGGAGAATTGCTGCAGTTTGGTCAAGATGCAGATGCTGAGTGACTTTTGGGTGTTCCTATGCATAGCATAGTCTCAGTCCTTTTCCCAGACTTTAGTGGATGGGTCAGATTCTAAGCCACAAAACATCTGACAGCACAGCTTGTCCCAGCCAGATTTTCTGACTAGTGCGTATGAAACTGTCTTTTCTCACACTGATACTCATCCCTAACCCATGAGAGAGGCTGAAAAAAACAGGCATGTATTGCTAGATTTTATGCAACTGATTTTTGTCCAGACTACTGCTGTTTTTCCTCCCTTCTTAAGATGGTTCACAAGTTTGCAGATCAGTGCTGAGTTGGGTGGTGTGATCTGACTCAGATCTAAACTTCCATTCAAATCCTGAGCTTCTGCAGATGTCCCAGAACACCATGTATTGCATACTTTGATTACATTGTTTTTGTAATGCTCTTGTTTTTCTTCTTGATTCTCTGGGGCATAAAGGAGAAATAGCAAAGGGTGGTTTTGACAGTACATTTTTTGAACCAGCCAGTATCAGCTCAAGATACCTTCAGAAAAACCCCAAGTACGTTTAAACTAGAGAAATACAAATCCATTTGTACAACCATCTGTCATCAAAGTCATAATTCAAGACTTCTTTGGAGAAAGTATCGAGCTGATGTCAGTCAGTCAGTCTCACCCTTTCCATCCCTTGTGCCTGTATCAAGATGGGCACACAAGTGTGTCTCCCTTTGAGTTTGCTGCTGCTAGGGCTGATATGCTCCAAAGGTACTTGAAAGGAAAGAATGCTGTGCCTGGCAATGTAAGGGCTCCCTGTCTCATTTTCTTCCACTAGAAAGTCCATCTGACTTTCCCAGGGGGAAACAGAAGGTCTTCTCCACTCCTGACAAACAGAACACTTATCTAAATTAGCGGTGACAAAGGGCGTTTTGGATGTTTGGCAGTCCGTGTCATCCCTGAGGACTTCTCTTGATGGGAAGGGAAATGACAGAAATGATTATGCCCCACACATACCTGGTGAAAGCCGTGACTCCCTCGGGGGTCAGAGCCTACAATGTCCAGGGGAAACTCTGCTCTGTCCTAGGTCCTGCAGAGTGGAAAATGTATGGCTAGCAGAGAATGCACATGACTTTTGCAGTTTCAGGGGCAGGTACTCAATTTAGCAATTGCTGGTGCCAGCTGTACAAATTTCTCTTTCTGGGGAGGGCGGCATTTTTATTTATTTGTTTTGCATTTGAGGTACTTCCAATGTGCACATTGTGACAGGTCTGAGCAAAGAGCTACTGCCTGCTTCAAGTGAGGCAGAGTCTGGGGGACAGTGGGAAGGAGGGGGCAGGTTTAGTTCCTGGAGTGTTCTCTGTGTATGGGAGTGGATGGTGGGTATGTACAATCACTGTGCTGTGGATGGAAGCTTTGAGGGAACTGATGGCTGAGGAGTGGCATGGAAGGAAAGGAAAGAACGGGGAAAAGAAAACAATCTGCTGTTTGCCTGAGCCTCTCTGACTTGCAAGAGTACACTGCAGACTAAAGACATTTCTTCTAAAACAACAAACCTCCTCCCTGTATCACTCCTGCTCATTAGTCCAGACAGTACTGGGCCAGCCACACCGGGTGCATTTCTTTTTTTTCTTCCTTATTTCTGTGTGGCTGACTTGATGGGAAAGAAAGCGGAACTCATGATCCAGAGCTGGAGTTTCGATATCCACAAACCTTTTGTGCATCATCTGCCTCTTCAGCTGGACATGTGGACGATGATGGTGTAGATGCTGCTGCTACTGCAGGGGTCCCGCCTGGTTTATTACCCTGCCCACCACACCCCAGCACAGAGGGACAGCCAGAGAGGCGCCATGTACAGAATCGCATCTCTTTCTGCTTTGTTTTCTGACTCAGAACCCTGCCCCAATGACTACGACAACAACAACAACAAAGAAAGGGCAAATGCATTTTTTACATTTCTTGATAATTTCCAAAGCAATGTATCATTGCTTTCTTTAGACTGACGCCAATATAACAGTTGTATGGGTCTCAGCCAGGCTCCTGTGTCTTTTCTGCCCGATAGTTTCAGATTGCTGTATGGAATGTATGCGCGTTTGCACACAGACATGACCATACGGGGTGGCGGCACCACAGGCCCGTGGGGTTGCTCACCTGTGTCACAGATGAAGTTGGAAGCCTTGCTTCGTGCGTGTAGATGAGAAACCCCGAATCACTGGTCCAGTGAGCTGAAGTGAAGCAGCCCTGCTGGGACAGAACTGAGTTTCCTAAGATATATGCATGGTCCTGTTGTGACTGTCCCCATGGCAGGGGCAGGGTGGGGGAGAGGAACACTGAATGGGGAATTTGGACACAACAAAGTTGATATAAAAGAAGTAGAATCCAGTTGGGGTTTCTGGTAGTGGTGAGATTTTATCAGTTCTCATAATGAAAACTGTAGTGCATATAAAGAAAACATTCCAGGCCATCAGAAGCCCCAGTTCCCATCTTGCTAACATGAGGCTGGAGAGCACTAGAGGCCACAGAGGTTGTATTGATGCAAAGAATGTGGAAAACAGAACTGGGCCCTGAAAAATTTAATTATATTTTCCCCTCATTTTTTTTCTTCTTCAAAGAAGTCTAAGAAATATAATTCTCAGTAGCTGCACAGGGTTTCTTTTTTTCTTCTTCTAAATGCTGCAAAGTTTTTAAAGTTTTATTTTGGGTGAGCAAGCCCAGGGATCCAGAAGGTTTCCAGAGAGATCTCAGTCTGTGGAGCTTTTATCCCTCTTCCCGCTTTGTTTCTGGACAGCCGAAACCACTACGGCCTTGCTGCTAGAGCACCCTGAGGTGGGGTGGGTGAGGGCAGAAGCACAACAAGAGACATGCCCTGGACTGAAAACAGATTGGGCTCCAATTGCTCTCAGAGAAGTCAGTAGCATCACACTGGAATGGAAACAAAAAAAAACAAAAACAAAAACAAAAACAAAAACAAACGTCTTCTGATACAAACTTTAGTGTTCTAGTTAAATCCTCCATTCTTCCTCTGCCCCTTATGGGGAGCTTAGCTGTTAGCACTTGAGCATAAAAAACAGGCTTTCTTTAGGGGCACAGGGCTTGACTCAGTTGCCGAAATGTGGGAGTCTCCTGTCACCTGAGATACCCTACAGTAGCCTGCTGGGTCTGCAGCAGCTTGTTCAGAAAGGCACAACTCTGCCCTAGGCAGGGCTGGTGTCACAGCCATCAGCCCCAGTGGATGGCAGAGATCTCAGGTGGCCAGAGACAATTAGGCAACTTAATCAAGTCCCTTTCTAAAGGGCTGAGAGGAGCAGCACCTGTGACTGATGTAATGAGGGAATCTTCAGTAGCATTACCAAGGGCTTAGGCGGGAGCAGGAGTTTGTCTGCACATTCCCATGCTGTTGTTTTTCTACCCCAAGTCAGGCACACAGCCTCCACTCCAACAAGCTGACGTTAGGCCAGGTTTAGCAGCTGCATCCCAGGCCCAGTGGAGCAGGGGCAAGCCCAGGCGAGAGCAGGCATCACCTCCACCCAGCAACGACTTTTCCTGCCAGCGTTCCAACAGCCCCTTTCCAAAGCTTTATCCTATTCAAGACAGATCCACAAACTCAGACACCATTTGCTAGCCTCTTAATTTGGATGAAGAAATACCTGTGTTTTTCTGTTAGCTCTTTTCCCAAACAGGCTTTTAGTATTTTAAGCATCCTGAGTCAGTCTGCTCCCATCTCAAGCACCTAGGTAGACTGGCAGCCAAATACTATCTAAATATCATCAACTTTATGATTGCTCATAGAAATGATTGTTTCAAGCTTATTCAGTCTTGACAGTTTGAATGTGGGAAGATTTTGGAGTAGGAGGAGTGAGATTGTAAATATCTCTTTGACAAACATTGCTGCATCACACACAAAAAAATAAAAAGGGGGAGATACTTATAAAACTGCCTTAAAAATCTATTCCGAATGATGACATCTCCCTCCAAACAATTGTCGCTTGATAGAGCAAGGGATGAGTCACTTTGGGTGAATTCTGGCAAGAAGTGGTTGGAATCTAGTCCAGTTTCAGGAGTGAAAGTGTAATTTAGGAGCTGATCTCTCACTCAGTCTGAATTCACATCAGCACCGATGACTGAGCTCTGCAGGATCAAACCAGTTGAAGGTCTGGGGATGCTGTATCTGGCCTGCACCTTCGTGGTTTGGGTGTGGCCCGGCAAGGTAGCAGTGTTTCCCAGTGACTTCAGGGAAGATGGGGTTCCTCAGCACCTCTTAAGTTCAGACCCTGGAGCGCCATTTCCTGCTCTGATCATCAGCTATAAATGTTGATAAATATAAGTGTTTTGCCTTCATTTGAATTGCCCAGAGCTGTAAAATGACCTCTCTCAAGTATAAATCAGCCCAGATATAAAACTCCTCTCCCATTCTTCCCTACACTCCTTGCCCACCTTCCCAGCCCTCCCCTGCACCTCCACCCAAGCCCTTCCCTGTCTCAATTCTTTACCTCCTTCCACAATTTTATATCTAGTTTTCATGAACCCACAGAAATGCTTTTGTAAATAATGCTGTACAGTTTGTAATCGTCATGTAAGCCTGTCATCAGTGCCAGAGTCCGTCTTGCCCTCTCGCACGTTTTAAAATCAACAGAGGAAAGTTAGAGTGAGTGGCCTGCCAGTGAGCTATAGGGTCACCTCTGTGTGGGACAAATGTATATTCCTGTAAGATTGCATTTTTATCTAAGGAATGATGTTATTTTAAAATTGCTAATAAATTTCTAAACAATGTCCAGATTTGTTTAATATTGTAAATGTTATCAAAACTCTTTTTGACATTGCTCCCTTCTCCCAGCAGTGGCTGAAAAATAAGACAGATTCCTGCAGCCCTTTGTTTCCCATCGGCATCCCTGCTGCCAATCATGGGCTCCCACCTGTATTTAAGGGGCTGCAGAACAGTCTTGACAGTCACGGCCTGCCTTGATAAACAGTAACTTAGGAAATCCAACCACTCTCTCTGCTGTTGTCACCACAGAAATCCTGCTGTGTCACGATGTCCAATGTGTGACTCATGCGTAATCACACACTTAACATTTTCTCCACTGGGTTCCTTTTTTACCAAGCACATTGCAACTAAAAACCGAATGCCCGCAGCTTAAATACGGTGTAATCAGTATATACATAGGCCATGAAGCTAATGGGATGATAACAAGTAACATACCATGCATTTACTTTTCGATTGAACAAACGTGTTCTACCACGGTTATCAAGCAATTACGCCGCAGTGCCGCTGAGCACTGCCTCTCTGTCACAGCACTGTAAATCACAGTGTACTCAGCCCAAGTACAGCATTTTAAGATTGAGTAAAATAATGCCTAAAGAAAAAAATAACGGGTTTTTTTGGGTTTTTTTCAGTTATGTGTATTTTTTTTTCCCCCTGACTCACACACAACTGACAGAACTGCAGGCTTTGCTGCTACTATTAATTAGTGGTGGCACAAAATGCTAAAACTCAGGAGTCGATGAAAACCTGTGGATGCCATCAGTACTGGGTGTTGGAATGGCAGAACAATCACCTACAGAAATCTCGTTATCTGCAGGCTCAGACTGGCCATCAGTCAGACATTTGCCACCACAAAACCATACCAAAGTGCTGCGGCTGGTGGTCAAAGCCCAGCAAATGGTTCAGCTTTGCTAAGAAACACCCTGAGCTGGAAACTCGGCGGAGCTCCCTGGGGCTGGGCTATAGCCCTGTGTGACACCGTGAGGTGAAAACCGTGGCAAAAAACGGGTGAAAGCGGCTTGTGGGCGTGTTGCGGTGTGAAGAACAGCGCGAAACCTCGAGTGAAACCTTACTGTAAGACAGCTGAAAAGGGGGGAGAATCGGGAATGAGTAGCAGGTTCCACAGCCCCGTGTGAAGCGGTCGCATTTAGAACAGCCTCTCAGCAGGAAAAGCAAAGCATACACCTATGCCGCGTTTTATTCAGCAGCACATTGCTGCTGGTGTCAGCTTTTAATGCTCACGGCATCTACCCGAAGCCAGAGGCGCGCACCGGGAGTTTCACCTCAGAGTGAGGAAGAACTTCTTGAGGGGGGCAGCGCCCTGGCACAGGCTGCCCGGGCAGGGCGTGGAGTCTCCCTGTCCGGAGACATTTCCAACCCACCCGGACGCGCTCCTGTGTCACCTGCTCCGGGTGACCCTGCCTTGGCGGGGGAGGGGGTTGGACTGGGTGGTCTCCAGCCCTGACGATTCTGCGACGAGCCCGCAGACCTCGGGACCCCTCGCGAACGCGAAGACAAGCCCCGGGCAGAGGCTGGTTCGGCTGCCCTCAGGGAAGCGCTGTGCCCAGAGGGGCGGAGCCGCTCGGGGCTCGCCTAGCCCAGCCCGGCCCATCCCGAACACCCGGCCCCACATGGCGGGCGGGGCTCGGGCCCAGCGGTCCCGCCTCAGCACCGCCCCGGCCCCTCCTCAGGTGGGCCGGCACCGCCCCGCGCAGGTCGGGGCCCGGAAGGCCCGGGGCGGCGGTGGGAGGCGATGGCGGGCGCGGGGTCGCGGCGGCTCCCGCTGGGGCCGCTGCTCCTGCTGCTGCCGCTCCTCCTGCTGTCCCCCGGCGCGGCCCTGCGGCTGCTGCTGGACGCCGCGCCGCCCTTCACCTGCTCCCAGCCGGTAAGCGCGGGCAGCGCCGGGAGCGCCGCGGCCCGGGCGGGGGCGACGAGCCGGGGAGTTGGGATGGGGGAAGCGGCGGCCAGCGCGGTGTCACTGTGCCCGGGAGCGCCGGTGCGGAGCGGAGCCTGGGAGCGGGGCAGCATTCCAAGCCCCGCAGGATCCGCCTGGCCGAGCGATGGCCGCCGGGAAGCGCCTGTCACTGACATCTCCGGGGGGGGCCGGGACGGGCTAAAGCCGCCCGGAGTCACTTGGGCAGGATGTGAGTCTTTGCTAATCGCTGGCGTTGCCTCACGTCCTAAAATGTTTTAAAGCTGTTCCTTGCAGCTGAGGGTTGGTTTGGGATTTTTTTGATGTTTCGTTTTTTTCTTTTAGGAGAAAGCAGGGAATCTCTTGCGAAGGAGTAAGGAAACAAACTTACGTGTGCTTGAGAGTTTTGGACGGGCAGATTCTGGTTGCGTTTTTTCCTCCCTGTGAACCCAGCCAGAGAGGAGGTGCAGATTTGGGGTCCGTAGGAAAAGCGAACTAACCAACATGAGCTAACTTTGGCACCCCAGAGTATGAACTCCGAGCTGGTCACTCTCTCTGCTGGTTTTCGGGAATTGATTTGGATTTGTTTTGTCGGTGGTCATGGTTGGTTTTTTTTCGCCTAAGACTCATGTAAAGAGTGGGTAGAATGAGGGAGGGAGCTGCTTTTGCTTTTTATTTCTGACGACGATAGCAGTTCATGCATAAACAGAAAAATGGGCAGTTATCTTCTAGCCTAGACGGTTTTATATGTCACGATGCACTTTCAGCAGTCTAGCGAAAGCAGCTGGTCAGGTGCAGCTATAAACATATGTAAAAACAAAATCTGTCCTTTTGGGAGGAGAGCTTCTGTAATCTTTTCCTGTACATGTTTCCTGTTTTTTTGTCTAGTCTGACTTTCTGACTCCTTTCCTAATGTTTGACTCTATCTGTTCCTCTCTTTTACCTGACCTCCAGTCTGCTGCCTTCACTCCTATGTAAAAAGGCCCCAAGAAAACAGACTACTTCTGCAATTTTACTTTAGACTGGGCATTGTGGAGTTACAAAATGTGAAATCTTGGAAAAGTGGAAAGAGGACATTACAATATTGCTTAGGCATCCTGCATAACCACGGTATCCCAAACGTTAGTCACATGGAGATTGAGAGAAATTATTAGAGAGTTTCTGTGAGTCCTTGAATGCTTGGGCTTTGCCTGGCTGTATCTTGCTGTCTTGTACCTCCTTTTTTAAGGAAATGTGAACCACAGTAACTTGTTGAGGGCC